CCCCGGGAATTGGGGGGGGGGGGCTGCGTGTCGCGCCGGCGGCCGCGGTACGTGGGAACGGTCCGGGAATGAGGGAGGCTGGGACGGTAAGGATGTTAATGAGGATATTTAATTAGTCTCGACTGAGGCATGAAGTATGCTGCCGCACACAACCCTGGGAGATGGAAAGGCATGAAATGATCACGATCCCGGGCCGGGCCGCGTGAGCCGCTGGCGCCGGCAGCGCCGTCCCGGTGGGTTTGGAGCGGCGGGCGGGTGGGGGGACACCCCTGGCCCAGCCGAAACCGCGGGAGCTGGTGCAGGCAGCCAAAGCAATCACACATTTCCCTGATAGCGTCCAGTGGCACTGGACAAACGTCAAGCTCCCGAACATCCCTGCTACATTCGCTCACACCGGGCCAACGTGGCTCTGCTGCACCCAAAGCATCCGGCCCCACGGATGAGGTTGTTTCCTTGGCAGCAGTTCCCTGACGCTACCGATGCAAAACTCTCCCTGCACATCCCTGCTCCTCTGAGGCAGGAGCTTACCCTGCAGTAACACGTTTTCCAGCCACATCCACTGTCCCTCACAGCACCGACCCGACGGAGGGCAGAAAAAAAGGAGTTTCCCAGTGCTCACACCCGCGTGAGCACCGTGTGCCGGGGCCGCTCTCCTGCACGTTTCCTACGGGATTTTTTTTTTTGCCAGGCAAAGCTGTTGCAGGAATGAGTCCCCACCTGAGATGCAGGCTGGCCTCCGGGGAGCGGGAGGAGAGCGGGAGCGGGGCTCTAAGCTGGCAGCACAAAGGCAGACGCAGGCCGGAACCAAGTCCGGGGACTCGGCAGCTGTTTGGGGACGACGGCTCTACCCAGCGCAGCCCGTCACCCACCGCTCCTGCTTCAGCACAGCCCAACCCTCGCGGCTCCCCGGGGCTGCGGGGAACAGCCTGGACCCCTGACAGGAGGAGGTTTGGGTTAACGCTAAATCCTATCTACCAGAATCGAAGCATCACCTCTACTACATACAGCTCCCGGCCCTTCCCTCTCCTCCGCAGCCCCAGGAGCAGCTTGTCCCCCGCTGTCCCCGCTGTCACCGCCCTGCCCGCAGGACTCGGCTGCCTCCAGCTCCCAACGCCGTGATTTTCCAGCTGCTCTGGTCCGGGATCCCACCCGGCCAGCAGCCAGCCTTCACCCAGCCCAGCCTCCGACTCCTTCCGAGCCCCAAGGAGGGAGTGAAAACGGTCGTTTCTTCTCTTGTTTTAAACTCCTGCTCGTGAGTACATTTCTGATAATCATAATCATAATAATCATAGTACTAAAAACAGTATTTACAACAAGCTCCAGGTCAGAATTACACACCAAGCAAACACTCAGCACCACAGAGAGTAGGACAGGGTTAATATCTCGCAGATACCTTCTCAGATCCCACCAACGTGGGACGCAGACATCTGACAGTTTCAACCATTTCTTACACACAAACATTTCGTTTAAATTAAATTTTTTTTTTTTTTTTTTTTTTTTAAACGTTTTAAAATTTCTCGTCACTATATGGATGAGGTGATGCTGGCGGTGATGCCGCGCTCTACACAGATGCTTACCTAAGACAGCTGCTACTATAAACCGATCATTAGCTACTGTTAAGAAATTCAACCCTCAGTTTCCTTCCCTTTCCCTCTTTGCCCTAAATATTTATTTATTTTTTTTTTTTGCCACTGACAGCGCTGGGGCTTTCTAACAGTCCTGTCCCCTGGCCCAGGCGAAGGGGTTTGGGAGTAAGGTAGCCCTTCCTTCTAGGAGCAGAGTCCCCTGGCATCAAACCGTGGCCGTGGAGGGATCCCTCCCGAATCCAGCTGGGACTTCTGGGGAGATTAGCAAAGAGCCCGGGATTTGATCTCCAGCAGCTGCTGCTCTTTGGCTTTTGGGGGGGTTTCTGCAACCGCCTGATGCTCACCCCAGACTGTAATCAATTCTTTACCTAATTAAAGGACAAGGTAGACAGAAAACTCCAGCTTCTGACAAGACTCAATGATGATTTCTTTTTCAGAGGGGAGGAGAGGCAAGGGTGGTGGCCTCTCGCCGTTCCCCATGCAAACCCCTCATCTCCTCTAGCTCCTGGTCACTGCCGGCCATCGCCCCCCCAGGGAGCCCCGCGCCCGCCTCTGCACCCCCTGCGCACGTAAATGATTCCCCAAAGATCCTGCAAAACCCCCCAGAACGGCTCGTCGGGGGCACACCTAACTACCAATTACTGCTAATTAAACATCTCGGTGCCTTGGATGCCCCTTTGGTTTATTCTGGGGTCTGAGGGGGCGGCTGGGATGGGGGGGCCATCGGGAGGAGGAGGGAGCGGTGCCGCGGGGTCAGCAGCACCCAGGCACCCTGCGCCTGAAACTCTGTTAAAAAAATACCCCCCCGGCAATCTCCAAGGATGGGACAGAGGGGAATTCTTGTTACCTTCTGCCTCAAATGAAAGCGGCTTCCGCCATCTGCTAAGCCTCGCCGCAGAACCGCGCTCTGGCAGGGCTGAGTCCCCCGCGCCGCATCCTGCCGGGCCGGTCCCTGCTCTTCAGGTGCAACATCTCCGCTTTGGTTTTCGAGGCAGGAGCAGAGCCGGGGCCGGGTGAGCGGGTCTGTGGGTCTCAGCGGGAGGGTGGCAGCCCCCCGCAGTGCGCGGTGCCTGCCTGGAGCTCGGCCACCTCCATCAGCCATGACACGAGAAGATGGGGAAGTCCGTGGGCCTTGACAGTCACCTCTTTAACCATGCTTGCACGTTCTCTGCTCATCCCTACCTCCATCAAGAGACAAGTTTTTTCTTAAAAACAGGCCTTGAAAAGCTAAAGATAGACAAGAAATGAGCATGGGGACATTTCTTCACCCCTCACTGCAGAACTGCTCCTCTCGTAGCTCCATCTCACCCAAAGCCACGGGGCTGGAGGTGCCCTGACTCCCCAGCCCAGGAGCCAGAGCTCCGGGGCTCATCTGGCAACCTCTGGTCTCGGTGTCTGCCCTGTGACGGCAACGAAGAGTCCCATCCGTCTTTGGAAAGAGGGAAAGATGACTATTCTGTTCACTAACAAACTACTTCACAACCATGCACCGTCTCTACTGGATTTGCTTCCTTACTGGAGTGAGAGCTCGTGTTGCGGGAGCGCCGGAGAGGCCGCAGACCCAGCGCCCTCTCCCAGGGCTCCCGCGGAGCCGGGGACACAATCGCCACCCGCGGTTCTCCCAGGCTGCTCGGCCAAGACCTCTCGGTCCCCGCTCTGCCAGGGAGAGGGTGGCTCAAGTCTACGGGCTCCTCCAGCCCGCGGCCAACCAGGGCGTCCGGCGGAGCCCGCGGCGCCGGGGCCTTGCCGTGACGGGGACTCCCCTCCCGAGCTCTGGGTGGAGACCCCCGCCTGCCTCCCCACAGGCTGTCAAAGGATCACCCCAAGGTGGGGACCCTGGGCCATCGCCTGCCTGGGCTGGCTCCCGGCGCAGCCATGAGATGGGGGTTTCTGCACAGCACGCCGCCGGAGCCATCCCCTCCCTCTCTCCTTCCTCGCTCCTATCGCTGGCAAACATGGGGCTGTTCCCTATTCCACTTCACACACAGAAATCGTCACTTAACTTCCCATTATTCCGAAACTGATATTTGGCTCAGAGCAAACACCAAGAGGAGTAAAAGCCCTGGATAAGAAATCCGTATCTCCGTGACACTGCTGGTTGAATTTATTAATATCTTAATTATTTTTTACATCAGTTTAAGAAATTCTTTTTTTTGTTTAAAAAAAGGACAAAACCCTCCAAAGAAGCTGTTTGATTGGACTGATTGGTCAATTGATTCTCTATTTCATGTGAACTAGTCGCTATTCTGCTTAGAGGTCCCTATGATCTGTGAATCCCCACAAGTACTGACGATTAAGGATGCAGAGATAGAGAAGCGTGTAGCTGGGGGACGAACACCAGGGGAGGGGGGGATGGAGAACCGAACGTCGCATCTAGACAAACAAAATAAAATGTGTTGGTTGGTTGGTCGATTGGTTGGTTTGTTAACAGGAATCAGGTGCTAGATGTGTAGAAAAGCCCTTTATCCAGAGATCTCCTCCCGCTGTTCCTTGTTCCTGCGAACTTCAGCTGCATGCAGTTCCTGCAAAGACGGGAGAGACGACACCAGGGTAACACTTTCTGCTCTGGCACTCTCCTCCTCTCCTGCACACAGGATTTGCGTCAGGACAAACAAAAAAAGTGACCAGGTTCCCATCCAGCACCCTGAGGACAGCGGGTTACACCTGCAAGGAGCGAAGCGTCTCCTCCGCGGGAGCCCGGCGGTGACACAAACCTACAGCGAACGAGCTCGCGGGTCCCCTCGTCTGCAAATCCCCTCGGCCACGCAGCCCCTGCGCACGGTGGGCCGGATCCTGTCCTTTGAGCTTGCACTTATCGAGATCAGCCAGACGGTATTTTGTCTACTGACCTTGAAGGACACATCCCCCCTCCTCGTGGTGGATGGATGTGGACCCTCCACAGCCGGTGTTCCACCAGCAAGGAAACGCCCGCTGCCCTGTGCCCATCGCTCCGGGATGACCCCCCAGACCGCCCCACCCCGGGTGTCAGCACCCAGCCCTGTCCCGGGACACTGCACTCGCCTTCTCGCGGAGCCGCTCCCTCAAGGCGGCGAGATGTGCTTCGCGGATCTCCCTGCTCAGCTCCATCTTGTAGTTGAGCTTCTCCTCGGCCAGGCGGCTGAAGTTGTTGTTCTCCTCCAGCGCCTTGTGCAGCACCTCCCGCTCGTGTTCCCGCTTCTCCGCCAGCTGCTTCAGCACCTGCGCCTCCTGGGTCTGCGAGGCAAGGCGTCGGGAGAGGTGTGAGCAACCCGAGAGCCTCTTCTAGCCTTCAACTCCCCCAGGAGGCTTTCTGACCGTCTCCTCCGCTCCGAACCTCTCTGCCACCCGCCTCCATCCCATAACCCTCTTGCCTGGAAGACGCTTTGACACCTTTTTCCTGCTACGGGGCAACATCTGCTGGGTCCGTGCTCCGGGCGGGCGGGTGACACAACGCTGCACCCACCGGCTCAGCAAAACCGAGGCGACACGTCTGCAGGCGCAGAGTCCCCCCTCCGAGTGTCACCTCTTTCTTCAAACCATGTCAGCTCGCTCTCCTCTTACCCACCGACATTTGTAACATTTCTATTTGGTTTTTACTCTGCCGGTGTTCCCCTTTCCAATAGTTTTCCCCAGAAGACATTTTACACAGCGCTCACCATAAAGGGGGGCACAGACAGCTGGTAGAAACACAAAGCTGTGTTTAGGTTTGGAGTTTCGGTCTGTGTGCGACCAGCTGCTGCATCTCCTGCAGAATTAGCTGCTGAGAACTTGTCCCCCAGCCAGGTCACACAGGAGGAGCGAGAGGACCCTGTACTCTCTGGTTTTAAGAACAGAAGGAGGATGATGATGATGAGCCCCGAGTCCAATTTCCTGCCTAAACCAGGCTGCAGAACCTCACGCCATGACTCATCTGACAACTTCCAGTGGAATATAATAATAAATGCAAAAATATTATTTCCAGACATTTTTGATTGCTCCTGCTAAGCCAGTTTTAGGGTTTGGTGCAATCAGTACCCGTCACAGCTCTACAGCACATCTCATTACCTTCCTCCTCTCTTCGGCAGCCTCCAGCCTCCTCTGCAGCTCCTCCAGGGACAGGTCCTTCTTCTTGGGGGGGGAGGAAAGGATTGGGCTCTCGGGAGATAAATCTGAAGGGGACTTCAGGATCACTTCGAAGCTCTGGCCCGATGCCCTCTTATCCAGCTGCTTCACCTCCATATCTTTGGGGGGGAAAAAAAAAAACCTCAGAGGCTCCGTGAACCTGTGACCCTCAGGAGAGAGTGCACCCGAGTGCACCAGGGTCTTCACATGGGAATGAGGGTGTGCCCATGTCCTGACCTGGGTGATTTTGTTCCGTGTTCAAAATTTCCTGATTAACGATCAGCTTCATCGCCCCCCCCCCAGGACAAGGCAATTCATTTCATTTCACAGCACAATTACAGCAAGGCCAGGCTGCTCTTAACACCTGGCACGTCACCCCAGTATGAAGCAGCCGGCCAGCACAAGCAGTTTCTTTCTGGGATAAATGTAGGTTACATAAATAAATTAAATTGTGAAAGGAGACAAAACACGAGCCGAGCTGCGGATTGCTGCTCTGGGATGGGACAGCCCAGTGTGCTGACGAGCATCACGCAAGCGCCGCCGCCGCTCCCGCGGGAGCAGGTTACGTACCTCCATACTGGTAGATGGTGTTGGGATGGGGCTGGGTGTGGAAACAGGAGCAGATGAGAGAGAGCAGAGACAGCTCCTTCATTTTCTCCTTGTAGGCTGAAAAATATGAAATAGCGATGAGAAGAGAGTCTAATGGCAACGGCAGCTCTTTTTCGTGGAGAAATGAAGCAAGTGGACACAAGAAAACCCATTGGCAGCTACCGGACTCCCCGGAGGCTTTTCCAGGCTGCCAAAGCTTCCCAGAAGGTCCCCAGGGAGCGTCCGTTCTAGAGCAGACTGAATTATTTGCCAGAGTGGCAAATGTCACGGGAAGACATGCAGGAGGAATTTACCATCTAGAGTTTCTGTGCAGGATTTTCCCTCCAAAGGAGCTGAAACGCTGCAGCCTGGGTAGTTAACCACATCGGGACAGCTGCCCAGCCCCTTCCTCCACTTCGCTTCCAGACTCAGAGGTCAAATGACGCCCATCGACCCCCGAGAACATTGCGCAAGCCCTGGCACGTTTGGAATATTTCACAATTCAGCATTTCTGACATCAGGGTGAAGATGTGGAGAAAAAAAATGGGCATTTGAGTGCTGAAACGGTTCAGGGGTGCTGCTATCAGGGGGAAGTGCTGCAACCCAGCTTCCCCAGGTACCTCCTTCCCTGCAGGAGCAGAGAAAGGGGGATGTAAGTGGATTCTGTCACCACCTGGGCCCACGTAGGCAGAGGTTGATGCCGGTCTGCAATCACAGTACATCACAGAATCACCGGAGAATGGTTTGGGTTGGAAGGGACCCTAAAGATCACCCAGTTCCAACCCCCTGCCACGGGCAGGGCCACCTTCCACCAGCCCAGGTTGCCCAAAGCCCCGTCCAACCTGGCCCCCGACCCTCTGCAAGGGACAGGGAAATACATAATCCCTTCGAGCCCCCCAGTTTGCTCATTATCCCTGTGACTGGAGGATGCGCCGCAGCATCCTCAGCGACCTCAGGTGCACAAGGTGCTGCCCTAACGACAGCAGCACCCACAGCTCGCTCTGCGCTTGTTTCTGGGGCGATCTTCACCTGTATTTTCAGTTTAGCACATTTAAGACAGCAAACGGTCAGCACACGCTTGACGAAGAACCTCAGAATAGAAGGTGGGACCTGCTCTCTCACGGCAGCTGTGAGGCTCTGGCCTGGCCTGGCTGCTCAGGGGACACCCAGGCACCTGGGGACAGGGTCTTCATGGCCACGTCTGCTGCCAAACCTGCCCTGAGCCTCCTCGTGCTGCCCTTCCTCCTGCCTCCACCACAGGGCACAGGAATTCTGGTGCCCAGCCTTGGCTCTGCCTCTGGATTTCCCACGTCCTTGTGCTTCTGGCCTGGGTTTGTCCCTTCCTTACTGAGCTCCTGTCTCTGGCCAGGGGTGAACCTGCAGCCTGGCTGCCAACGCCGCCTTCATAGCAAGACCCTCCACTGGGCCAGGCAGGGGAAATGCCCCAAACTTTGTGATATGGAGATGCATAACAATTCGAAAAAGAAAAAAAAAAAAGTCACCCTGTGTACTGTACGCCCTCAGGAACACCTTTCAGCTCTTCTCTGCCTTCCCACGGCTACTCAGGTGGGAAAACCAGCAGTTTCTATACCTACCGCATTTATTTTTCCTCCTGGGTACAGAACTTCATCCTAATTAACACGCTCCTTCTGCTGACCGACAGCCCCTGCCGCTCAGACCTTTATCGAACGTTTTCCAGCTCACTCCACATTCTGATTTTAATACACTGCCCAGTCCTGCTGTTAAATGTAAACCAAACAGGGCCAGTTTACACCAGCGGTGCCAGCCACAGAGCAGGCCATCTTTGATTTTGTTCTTAAGGAGAAAAATCTTTGGAAAGCCTCTGAGAGGGCTGTATCGTGCTAGAAGTTGTGGCATGCAGCGGTAAGCTAATGTATCTCATAAGGTGCTGCCGGGAGCCCCGAGGAGGGTCCCCTGGATTAAAGGAGAGACGTTATCATTTAACAGAGACAAACCACGCGCCGAGGTCGTTGTTCCGCCGTTATGTCTGGCCCTCGGTGAAACCAAGACGTCAAGCAGACGCGCCCCGGCCCCGGCCCGCTTGTTTAATTGTCTCCTCGCGGTTGTGACAGCGCACTGAGCTTTGTATTTCATGACTTAAACTTGAGTAATTCCACGTCCCTGTTAGACGAGGGTGTGCTGCAGGCCCGGCCCTTCGGGAGAGCTGCTGGAGTCATTTCGCAGCTGCCTCCGTTCCACCGGGATCCTCCGGAGCGACAGTCCCCCTCCGTCAATTAAAACGAAAAGGAGCGAGAGGACAAGAGGACGCGGCTCCACCGGGCTTTAAGGAGCTCTGGAAGTGCCGTGCTCCCCCGGCTGCACCCCGGCGGATGCAATTCGCTGCACGGGGGGCGCGGGACGGACGGGGGGAGCGGGGCGGGGGGCTCCCGGCGCTCCCCCCCCCGGGGGGGAAGAGCCCCGAGCAGCCCCCACCGCTGTGCGGAGCCGCTCCAGCCTGGTCGCTGCCGGGGGGTGTTGGGGGGTGTTGGGGGG